AGCTCTGCTGCTCTCCAATGGAGTGAGGAAGGGTGATGAGGGGTCCTTGGGGAGGTGGCAGATGGAGACTCCCAGCATGCAAGATCAGAAGGCAAGGGCTCAGGGCCGGGGTGGGTAGACCAGGTGTTTCTCCAGCCAGGGTACCGGCCAGCAGTGCTGCCAGCCACATCATCAGTGCCTGCCCCAGGGACTCTGGAAATGCTGACCGCATCCCTAATTACAGAAGCTGGAGGTGGCAGGACCCCAGCTATCTGTGACTTCATCTTCCTGTCACGGCAGGAGAAGATCTCCAGGGAGAAGGAGGTGACATTGACCATTCATCCGAGGCCGGGGGGAGCTCAGCCCAGCCTCTGGGCCCTTTAAACCAGGGCCAGCTTCTGCGTAACGTGGCAGGTCCCTTCAGCCAGCTCACGCTGCTCTTAACCTTACGGACCATCGCAGGGAAGTGGTCTTCACAGAGGGCACACTTCTTGTGACTTTTTTTGAGCCAGAGAACACATCAGAGCACCCAGGAGAGTGAAATGTTGGTCTATAAACTGGCCTAAGCCCTGCTCCTCTTTGTAAGGCATTATTCTTCCCTCCAGAAGTTCCGTGTGGCCTTCTGCTCTTTGTGTTAGGATGGAGCCCCCTACCTGAAGGCCAGCTCTGTGCTTGCATCAGCCCCAGGGTAGAGGGGAGATGTTTCAGTGAGGGGCCAATGGGCAGCATCCCGCAGTGTCTGGGGAAGGGAGCGAAATGCCCATTAAGTGGATTGGCCTAGGTGCTCCCTGGGGCTCTGCCTGTCAGGTCAAGCTCCATCCAAGCGGGGAGGGTTTCACATGGGCCAGACAGCAGAGAGGAATGTAGGTGCCCCCTGTCTGCTGGGGCAAGGGACGAAAGACAAGGCCTACTCCATCTGTGGCTGAAAACGAAGGCAGAACATCTTCAATAGATGGAAGCTTCTGGATCTTCCTCAAGTCTGGTTTGCCTCTTTTCTTCTGGCTCCTTGTCTCGGCCACATTTCCCAAACCCAAGCTAATGTCACAATCTAGTCTTTGGCACAGCCTTTTATTTGCTGCTTGGATTTTCTAGCCTTAGCTGCTCTCAGGCACCATGTCCCATCACCCAGGCAGGCCTTTCTGAAACGGTGGCCCACCACCTGGGCAAGCCTTCCTGGTACGGTGGCCCACCACCGGGGCAGGCCTTCCTGGTACGGTGGCCCACCACCAGGGCAGGCCTTCCCTGAACGGTCGCCCTCCACTGGGGCAGGACTTATTGGAGCAGTGGCCCTCCACCTGGACAGGCCTTCCTGGAAAGGTGGCCCTCCACCTGGACAGGCCTTCCTGGAAAGGTGGCCCTCCACCTGGGCAGGCCTTCCTGGAACGGTCGCCCTCCACTAGGGTAGGCCTTCTTGGAGTAGTGGCCCTCCACCTGGACAGGTCTTCCTAGAAAGGTGGCCCTCCACCAGGGCAGGCCTTACTGGAGCAGTGGCCCTCCACTGGAGCAGGTCTTCCCGGAGCAGTGGTTTCTCACGTTATCAAATCTGCACTCAGCTGTGCCCTTCGGTCAGGCCACCATGGTGGCCCAGTTTAGATGAGCCTTCTCTCCAGATACCACCGCTTGGTACCTGGACTCCCAGAGCTCCAGACCCCCCTGGGGTCACAGTGGGAACACAATCTGTCACTCTAGAGATCTTAATCAGTGTGGAAAGACAAGCAGGGAGCCTTCTGGCCTCTCTTGCCTCCGACACCGGTGCTCTTCAAGTGGTGACCTGATGTGGACACAGAGAGAAAGGCCCTTTGAGCCCAGCCTGTGGTGTCTGTCCTCACACTCCCCCACCTGCTTCCCTGTGGACTGTGGCTGCCACCTGCCCGGCCATCCCTCAGCTCGGAGGTAGCTGAACTTGAAAGTGATGTTATTTCTTTAACATGGGTTTTCTTACCCAGAGCAATAATATTTTCAGCTGGTTACGGAGGCTAATTAGTGGGCCTCAGGCCTCAGTTTGTGGAGCTCCCTTCACAGAGGTGTTTGGGACAGTGCAGGGTTCTGAGTGGGACTGAGTTTCCAGTGCCCGGGTCATGCAAAGCAGTCTGGGTAAATTCCCAGCATGCCAGATCACCAAGCAAGGTGTCTAGTGACAGCAGGACACTGGGGCTTTATCTCCTCTCCTTGGAAAGAGATCTTTTGTTCTCTAGAACGTTCCACCTCTTTAGAGGCACAACTCCCAGCTCTGTTGTTAGCTGTGTTATAGATGAACCAGGTTTTTTTACCTCTGAGAACTTTAGTTTCCTCATCTGTAAATTGGGAGCAGTACTGTGGCCTAACCTGTGGGGTCAGTGAGGGTTCAGTGTGTGTAGGTGTGCACCTACGTGCACACGTTAGTGTTTGTATGTGTAGCATGCATGTTTCATGAAAGTGTGTGTGTGTGTGCGTGCACGTATGCGTATGCGCCTGCCAGTTCCCAGGGTTGTGGGGGATGAGAGAGAGAATAACAGGAACCTGTCAAGAAGGAAGATCTATCTTCTCTCTTTTAAGGGTCTCAGGAAATTGTCAGCCCCACAAGTTCATCTTCAGGGGGGAGGAACTGGACTCTGGAGAGAGAGGTGCTGAGTGGTTGGCCCAATGGGAGTCTGTGGGACTGTGGGTGAGGGCGAGTCCATCTCATCTCTGAGCTTCCGTGTCCATCTCTGAAAAGCGAGAGGGTTGGTAGGTCTCCTGCCAGAACCATCTCTCAAAGCCCATGCGGTTTATCATTGATGTTTCTTCTTTGGAGAAAATCACTTGAACTGGACTGTCCACTGAGAGACTGCACCACAGGGAGTCTGCTCACCGTGGACTGAAGCGAGCCCACCTCGTCTGTGGCCATCCCGCTGCTGTGTGATTTTGTCCTTTCCTGAGGGGTGAGGGGCGGTCTTCTGGGGTGGGCACTGGGCACTGAGCTGAGAGTTTGCCTTGAATCAGGTAAGGAAGGCTGAGTGTCTGAGTCCCACCAAGACCCAGGAAAGGAGCTTCAATCCAGCTGTGCTGGTGGTATTTCCTCTTCTCTTTTAGAAATAGCTGTGCTTTTGGACTGAGGCTGACAAATCCTTGGGTGGTAGATTTTTAAGTGATGATAAACAATTTGCAGCTAATTCCTTTGTCTCAACCCGAAAGTCGAGCTTACTCAGCTTTCTCGCTAACTGGAGGCCTTGTTTCCACTTGGCACGACTCTCAGATGGCATCAAGGGGAATTAAAGGCTGTCCTCCTGAGGTCTCACTTCCGTGGAACTCGGGTGCCGTTAACTCAGTCATCAAGCCCAGAATTCCAAACCATTCACTCAGTGTGGGTGGGAAAGAGCTCTGGGTTTGGAGGTTCAAGTTCAGTCTCGCCAATCTCCTGCTCTGAAGCTACTGATCTTGAGTGATAGAACAGGGACCCTGGTGACCTGGCTTTCCATATTGCACCCCGAACCTTCTGAGCTTCACCAGCAGAAGGGAACCAGGATGGGCCTCCATTCCCACCTCACTGTCTGCACTCTTGAGGCTCAGCTAAGAGCATCAAAAAACAACGTTTCTACATTTCCTTTCTAAACCAAAAAGCTTGAAAAGATGGGGCATCTGTATTGGGGTTTTTTCCTTCTTTGCAAGGTCCAATAATGACAAGGCTGGCCATTCTGGGAGCTGTTAATTGAGTATTGATCACCTGCCAGGCTCTGGACTAAGAGCTTTATCACATCACATCTATAAATATGTGCTGTTGTCACCTGCGTTTTATAGAGAAGTTGTCCTTTGTCACCTAGTCCTGCCTTAACAGAACATTCCAGAAGTGGGTGGCTTGAAAGTCTGGAATTTGTTGTCCCACAGCTGTGGAGCCTCAGAGTCCAAATCCAGGGTGTCACCAGGGTGAGGCTGTCTCTGTTGACTCTGTTGTCTCTTGCAGCGTCTCCAGCCCCCAGTTTCTTGGCCTTCCTCGAACTCTTGAGGGTGTCCCTTCACGTGGAGTCTGTCTCTCTTGTGTGGACCTCATGTCTACCCTGCTCTTGTTATAAGATGCTGTGCAGCGGGATTGAGTATAGAACCCACTTTGTTGATTTGCTAGGTGCTGTCGCGTCAGCTGTGACTCACAACAGTCCTCTGAACAGATAGAAGCTTTGCCCTGTCCTGAGCCAGCTTCATGGGCTCTGCCACTCTTATGTCTATTGTCGCTCAGTCAAGCCATCTCGTTGAGGGTCTTCCTCTCTTTTGCTCACCCTCTGTTCTCCCCAACATGGTATCATTTCCCAAGGGTGGAACCTCCTGACAGCCTGGCCGAAGCATGTGAAAATATGGGCCTTCTTAACAACTCACATGCATTGTCAGAATGACTTGCAGCTGGCCGTCCACTGGGTCTTCTGGGGCTATGATTGCACAGGAAGAAGCTGCCCGTCTTTCTCCTGCAGAGCGGCTGGTGGGTTTGGACCACCAGAGAGGTGCCGACTTCGGGTTAGTGGTGCAGCTCCCCCTGGACTGAGGTACCAACAGTTCTCATAAACAACGAAAGCCCTGTTTGCAAACAAGGCCAATTCCCAGCCAGAGGGGCCTTGGGGGACACAGTTCAGCCCACACCAGGTGAAGAGACAGCCTGAGGTCGTGCAACGAGCAAGGCTGCCTCCTTGTCTCTCTCCTTCTGTTCGGTGGCTTGTTGTTTCCAGTTTGCTCCAGTCTTCTAAGTCAGTGTTTCTCTCCTTCGAGGCCCACATGTCCCCTCTCTTCCCCAGAGGGTCTGACTGCTGGCCTGGGTGGGGCCCCTGCCTGGAGGCTTATCCTGTTTCCTGGTGGGGAGCATTGATCTGAGCATGGGGTCCATGGATGAAGCAGAATCACTGGATGGGACTTCAGGGCCCCTTGGCCAGGCCCACTCCTCTCTCTGGACCTCAGCTTTCCATCCTGCAAAGGAGAGGATTGGTCAGGTGGCCTCCAAGGGCCTTCTCTCCTCTGAGGTCTGTAATAGTAGGAAGCTCATGGACAAATATGTAATTGTTCCTTTTCTTCTTCTGTTTTAGGCAGAATATGAAGTTACTCCGGATGAAAAGCTGGGAGAGAAAGGGAAGGAAATTATGACGAAGTACCTCACCCCAAAGGTAAGAGGCTTCCTGACGACTGCAGAGGGAGCCGTGTCCAGGACTGTGGGGGGCCGGACGTGCTCTGACTGCCTTGCCCACTGCAGTTGGCCGCCATGCTGGCCAGGTGGCTACTTCTCCACTGTCTGTTGTTGGCGAGCGGCATCCAAGGGAGCCCAGCTTCGTGCCTTCTTCCACAGCTGCCCAGTCAGTGACCGACGGCTTTTATGGCTCATGCACGCATCTGTTTTCATCACCACCACGCTTCTCACGAGACCTTCAGACACATTAAAAAATGATGGGGCCATGTTCATGGAACACCTCTGGACACTGACTGGGAACCTGACACTTGGGGCCCTTGTGTGACCCTTGTGTGGCCCAGCATGGCGGCCCCCTCCATCTGCAGGCGGTCATAGGGCAGGCCCACTTTGCTTAGCTCCAGAGACAGGTGTGAGCAGGGACAGGAAGCTCTCAGCTTGGAGGGGAGTCAGAGGAGGTGCATGTGAACTGAGTTCCTGCACCCCCACAGTGGCACGGGTGAGGTCCCTGTGTGTCATTGTTATTTAGGTTCTTGAAGGAAGCGTTTTGCAATGAGTAACACTCTTGGCACCAGCAGTCAGGAAATCAAAAAGCGTATCGCAATGGGAAAGTCTGCTGTTAGGAACCCCTCTAAAGTACTCAGGAGCAACGATGTCTCTCTGGAGACTAAGGTGCGCCTTATACAGGCCATGGTATTTGCAATCACTTGTTATGCATCAGAGAGTTGGACAATGACTAGGGAGGACAGAAGGAGAGTTGATGCCTTTGAGCTGTGGTGCTGGAGAAGAGTATTGAATGTACCATGGACTGCTAGGAAAACAAACAGATTCATCTTGGAGAGGATTAAACCAAGCTACTCCTTGGAGGCAAGGATTCTGGGGCTTCGTCTGACATACTTTGGACATGTTGCCAGGAGGGATGGGTCCTTGGAGAGGAACATCATGCTTGGGAGGGTGGAGGGACAGCGCAGGAGGGGAAGACCCTCTATGAGATGGATTGATTTGGTGACTGGAGTAATCGGGATGGGTGTGTCAGAGGCAGTGCGGTTGGCGCAGGATAGAGCAGGGTTTAGGGCTGTTGTGCATAGGGTCGCTATGAGTCGCAAATGACTCGACGGCACATAACAACAACAACAAGTAGTCAGTGGTCTTGGAAAATTTTTATCACATGCTTTTCAGGGTTTCTGTCCCCAGAATACTGCCACATTTTCCACCTCTGGTCCTCCTTCTTTGCTTCCAACTTTCACATTCCAGTCACCAGTAATTAATAATGCATCTTGATTGCATGCTTGATCGAGTTCCGACCACAAAAGTTGGTAAAAATCCATTTCTTTTTCTTTGGTTGGTGTATAAATTTGAACACTAGCTGCAATAACTGGTCCTCCTTTTACATGTAGGGATCTTACCCATCACTGAGAGCATTCCATTTCCCTACAGATCTTGAAATTACTCTTTTTCACAATAGCAATGTTCTTCTTCAATTTGTCCTTCTTGGCAGAGGAATTATATGATTGCTCAATTCATTATGGCCTCTATCAGTCCATTTCAACTCATAAATGCCTAGGAATTGGTCGTTTAGTGTTCTGTCTGTAACTTTTCACAACTTTCCATTTTCCCAGATTCCTACATCATACATCCACATTCCAGTTACTAATGCATGTGGATAGCTATTTACTTCTTCCTGAGTCATGACACCTCAGCAAATGAAGGCCCTGGAAGCTTACTCTGTCTGCATTAAGGGCCACTCGACTCTGAGAAGACACTGTGCTTAGTAGTTTTCTTTTTTTTTTACTTTGTATTTTAAGGGCCTTCCACCCAGACCTCCTCATCTTGCCACAAAGTTATCAGACAACATCCTGCTATTCTTCAGAAGCTTCTTACCAGCCAATTATTTCAGAAATAGAACACCAGATCCTGGATTCTTAATCTAGAAACTCCACTGGAGACTGCCTGCCAGGGAGGTGACCCTGCTGGTAGTTGAGATCCTGGTGGCAAAGCTTTTGGCATCGCAAGTCATCACAATTTGACAAACTGACAGACGAGTGGTGGTCGGTACTGGGAGGAGAAAATAATAACAGTATCTCATTGAGCCCCGACAAGGTGCCAGATGCCCCTAAATGTGACCTCTGATGGTTTGGTACCCACAGAAGGGACGTGACTGTTCAGACTGTGGAAACCGGGGAGGCAGGGAACGTGCGAAAGCTGCCGAGCTAATACATTTACAGCTGCCCCTGCGAAGTCCTTTCCCACCACTGCTCTGCTTTGCAGACTCCAGTTGTCCATCTGTGCCCACTCGTGTCCCCAAGCAAAAGCAGCTGACGTGCAGTGAGGACTCACCGTGTGCCAGGTGCCATCTCATTGAATCCTGCATCACGTGTAGTCTACCAGCCTCCAGGAGGGTGCCCCTGTCCCAGGTCACACCCGTAGGCAGTGGCAGAGCCAGGCTTTGAACCCACATCAGTGGGTTTCCCTGGAGCTCCTGTTAGAAGTCCTACAAAGTGTGTGGCTCAAGACAACAGAAATTCATCGTCATAGTTCTGGAGGCCAGAGTCCAAGTCCAAGGTGCTTGGGGGGCTGGGCTCGCTCTGAAGGCTTCTGGTGGTCCCAGGCGTTCCTTGTCCAATGGCAGCATCACTCCAGTCAGTAAATCTGTCACGTGCCTGTCTTTCTTGAGTCTTGTGTGCCTGTCTCTTCTTCCCTTTTTATACGGACATCATTCATTAGATTAGGGTCCAACCTAACAGCCTCTTGTCAACTCTACTAGTTACGTCTACAAAGACCCTGTTTCCAAATACAGTGATGTCTACAGTGACCATGCTTTTGGGGACACACAAGTTAATCAATCACACCTGCTCTGGGTGATCTGAGAGCCCTCCTCACCTTCCGTCTCCCCCTCCCCATGCTGTCTGCCCTGGCCAGGGGTCTGCAGTGAAGATGACAAGCCCTCCTGCCTAATTTGAAGAGGCTATTTGAGCCCCTCTAAAGGCAGGGCAGGGGCAGGTGTTCAGATCTGCTTTCCTCTCTCACCTCCAGTCCACCTCTTCCAGAAGCTTCCACCCAGCCCCTGCACTGGGGCCTCTGCACCTCCCACCTCTGCTCGGAGCGGCCTGAAGGACTGCGGCCCAGACTCCCGTCAGCACAGACGCTTTTTACAAGTACCTCAGAGCCTGCCAACATTTTTTCCTTAAGTGCTCCTCGATTTTGAGAATTTAAGCCACACCATATGTTACAGCCCTGAGGCTCGGGGGGCGGGGGGGAGGCGGTCAAAGCAGCTTCCTGGGCCGACGGCTTTCCTATAATAAATTTTGCGCTGCCCTCGCCATCTCTCCCGTGGGAGGCCCCTCACAGCCTGCTTTACTTCTCCATCAGCTGATGGCCAGGTGTGAGGGGCTGAGTGAGAGGTGTGCTGGCAGCCGTGGGCCCCTAAGCCCAGGTCTGCTCACACTGCCCAGCAGCATCGTGCAGAGGGTGGGCCACAGGGCACAGTGATCTGAGAGTCTCTGCAAAGCAGGGGTCTTGTCAGTGAAGCCCAATCCTTGTCGAGTTCCCCCAGCCTGTGGGTGCGTTAAAGGCTTAAAGAAGTCCTGCAATAACTGGCTTCATTTTCCAAACTTAATTGACCACAAACCACCACACTCACCCCCTTTCCCCGCCTTTGAAAAAAAAATCACATCTTGGTGGGTACCCTGTGGTCCCACACATCCTCAGGGCCTTCAGGGCCGCACCCACCTCTGGGAAAACCTTGATGTCCTGAGGCTCCCCCAGCCCCTGCTCCAGCTCCACCCCCACGACCCTCAGATGCCGGGCACCTGCTGTCATTCTGCTTCCCACCTTGACGCCCACACTCGGGGCTGCATCCTGGGTGGCCATGCATCTGGCAGCCTATTCCCTCCTCCACCTTCCTCCCGGCCTGTGTTCTCCCCTGCCCACGACCCCCGGCTCCGTACTACTTCTCTCCAAAGCTGAGACCCCTCAGGTGGAGATCAACCTCTTAATCTTTTTTGAGGATGAGGGTCAGAAATGTCTTAAGAGAGTCTTCTTCCATGATGCCCTTGTTTGAGAATGAGGGCCAAACTTTAAAGAGTCCTGAGCTACTCTTGGGGTTTTGTGTGGAGTTACTAGGGAGGTGGAGGCAGCCCAGGAAAGACAGAATGAGGAAGGAGGGCCTTGGTATGGAGGGATGGCGCAGGAGAGGAAGACCCTCGATGAGATGGATCGATTCTGTGATTGGAGTGGTGGGAATGAGTGTGTTTGAGACAGCGAGGTTGGCACAGGATAGAGTGGCGTTTAGGGCTCTAGTACACAGGGGTCACTATGAGTCGCAAGCAACTCGATGGCACATAACAACAACAACAATGGAGACCATGGTGTCTGCCCAGGCCTGCCACGCCCTGGTGCAGCGCTGGGCGCACGGCCCCGCCTGGTGACTGTGGCAATGAAGCAATGAGAGGGTTCCGGGATACTTCCCTTCTCGACTTCCTGCCTCGCTGCTCTCCCTGGGAGCCAGCCCATCCCATGGGGACATCCCATGCCGTCTCACAGGGCGCGTCTGCTGGGCATCTGGCTGGAGTGTCCCAGCCTGAGGTGGAAGCCAGGTCTGGAGCCAAATTCCTGCTCCTCACTAGCTGATGAAGGCTCAGCCCTCAAGGGAAAGCCCTCTCCTTCCACTGCCCAAACCCACCCAACTCACCCGTGCCCATCGGTCGGTAGCTTTAGGGTCCTCTAGTAGGATCCCCAAGGTAGGGCTGTTGGAGCCTAGGTGAGCGTTTGAAGCAGACCTGCATGCAACACCAACTCGGCCTGCATTGACTGTGTGACCCTCTGCGCTGTGGCTTTCTCGAGCACCAAGTGGTAGGGTCCTGGTGGCCCGCTGGGAGGGACAGGCTCCCAGCCCCACCTGGTTCTCCCCTGGGATTCCTAATGCCCCAGCGCAGGCAGGGTCAGGGGCATTTCCCCAGCGCCTGGGGGTGAGATCGCTGACTG